CAAAGAACTCAATTTAACTTTTATTTTCATCTTCATCTACTAAGCTGTTGGTGATGTTTCACAAAAACCTACAACTACCATGGCCAATGGCTACTTTCTAAACACATTCAAACAAACAAAAGAGCCTGGAAACAATTTTTATAAAAGCTAACTACAATCTAAGAGCCACTTGTTCAAGCTAAAATCAGCAACAACATGTTTTTAATCAGTTGTGATGTGATTTAACCAGTATCATTTTATTGTATGATAATACTAACATAAATAAAAATAAAATATTTTAATGCTCCCCTACCTCATTTTCCAGCAAAGAAAACTCTACTCTTGGTGCTCTAAATCCCAAGCCTCCTCCCTTGCTTGCTCTCACTTTCTTAGAGGTTCAGAAAATTTCTATAGCATACTCTTACAAAATGATGATGGCAACAAAGCCAAACGATGGTTATAAACACCCTAGTGGATCAATAATCTTTTATTCAATGTAAAAGTGAGTTATGAGGTGAGCTTTGGTACCTGAGTTTCAATGAAAGACCGTTCCAAAACACATTTCATCCTCTTAATCATGCATCTTCTTCGTTCTTGTGTTGTCGCGGAACCCTAATCGCCCAAATATAGCAAAAGAGAGGACCTAACCCTTCTAGGAAGTCACGGTCCAAGAGCACGAGGGTTTTGATGAGTGATTTGGCGATTTAGAAGCAAAGGAGAAGAAGTGCAGCGTGAAAGTGAAGACACGCACAGAGGAAGTGAAGCAGTGATTTGGCTAATTGGAAAGGGCCGCAGTGTTGCAGACGAATTAGAAATGCAACATGAGAGTGAAGACGCGCACAAGGGCCGCAGTGTTGCAGACGATTTAGAAATGCAACATGAGAGTGAAGACGCGGGTAGAGGAAGTGAAGCGTGAAAATGAAAAATATTTCACACCGGTTTTAAATGTAGTTGGTATAAAAAATGAACTTTTATACCTATTTTGAATTTAATCGTTGTAGAATTATTTATCATTTATTACGATTTTGTCATTATACTATTTTTTATACTTATTTTTAGTGTAACTAATGTAAAAAAAATTATCTTATTTAGAATATTGTCACTGCATCATTTTCTATACCTTATAAATTTCAACAGGTATAAACAATAGTTATAAAAAGCCTATTTTACATTAGTGATGCTTCATGCAGCTAAAAATACTATAGAATAAACATAAAAAAAATATAAGTAAAGAACATTGGAGAAGGCTTGTTCGGCAGTATGTCATCACTATACATGAGATAACTTGCATTTAAATCAACTAAAAGGAGAAGAGACTTATTTGTTCTTCTTTCTTTTAAGTCAAAACTATGTGAAGTCGCATATTGCTTGCACTTTAAAGAAAAGAAGAATATATGAGTTTCTTTACAACCAAACTAACAAAAAGAAAACTAGAAAGGCAAAATATAAGCCTATGAAAAACATGATACTAAAGGCCAAAATACAAGCCATAAAACCTATTATACTCTTTTTATTTCTTTATGTTTTCTTCAGGTCTTGACCCATCTATGATCACATCATCCCCTAGGTTGGAGAGGATTCAACCTCGAATCTTGAAAGACATGCACAAAGAAAAGAGATCAATACCTCCTACATCAAAGGTCATTCTATAATAAGAATCAAACAAGTGTAATTATTTTTGGTCTTCCAAACAAAGTACATAAACAAGTAAAACTAGAAGAAGGTCTCCTTAGATTTTGATTGAAAATTTTGGAGAAAACTAAGAGACCTTTTTTAGAAAAACTTTTATTTTTTCTTGAGTTAAATGTGACCAAAGAAGGAACATTAACTCAAGATATGGTTTGGAAAGGGTTATTAAAGAGGTGGAAATAAGGGAAGAGAGAGATGGGATATTTTCACAAAAGAGTTTGGGAAAGGAAGAAAGCTTAATAATTGGAGAGAAGTGGAAGGATTGAAAAACTCCTGTGAAATTGCTTGAATCCTTTAGAATGATGGGAGTGGAATGTGTCTTCAGTAGCACTTCCTTTGTGACTAGGACTTTTTCCTTCTCCTTTTCTCTCACAAGTTTTTCTTTTTCTTTCTTTTCTCTCTCCTTTCTTTGTTTTCTCTCATTTTCTTCTTTACGCTCTCCTCTCTTTCTTTCCTCACTTATTTTACTCTTTCCTCTTTTCTATCATGAATCGCATCATTTAAACAATTAAACATGACATTCTCTTTTTCTTTATTTGACGAGGAAGAAGAGTTATGAAGGTAAGGAAGAGGTCGGTTGATTGATTACAATTGCTTCACCCCTGATGCATATTGTCATTTAGTTGGGGTAGGTAGAAGCTATATAACCATGTCCTAAGCATTTAAAACATTTAATATGACTTGGTCTAGAAGGGGATTTAGGTTAGGAAGATGGATGGTTAGAAGGAGAATGAGGGCGAGATTTGTTAGAGGGCTTCATTGAAACATCTTGGTCTTTTTCCTTGGATGATGAGGATTTGGAGGAAACATCTCCTTAAGAGTTTGAAAATTTATGGTGAACAACTTCTTTTCACAAGAGTTGCTTCTCTACTTTCATGGCCCTATGAACCACTACATCCAAATTCTCATCATCATGGAATTCAATAATATCTTGAACGTTTTCTATTAAGTTCACTAATAAACTGAGATATTTTTGCATGATCATTTTCTTTAGTGTTATTGTGATGTATGAGCACTTTGAGCTCATGAGCATACTCTTCCACACTTCGTCTACCTTGATTAAGCCGTTGGAGCTTAACCAATTGGTATCTAAAGTAGTGAGAAGGTACAAAGCGCTAGATTATAATGTCCTTAAAAAGTTTTCATGTGCTCGCGGGTGAACGTATGCATGGTGGTCAAGTTTCTTTTACTTAGCCATTGTTTGATGAATCCCTCTAAAGCTAAACAAGCTAACTTTACATGAAATACTTCATCTATACTATAAAAATCCAAAAGATTATCTAAATTAGCTATCCGATCTAAACAAATGTTAGGGTCTTGTTCTCCATGCAAGAAAGACAATTTGAGCTTGGGAAGAGGCATAATTGTATTTCCACAAGGACGGTCCTCATGGTGCTTCTTGGACGTTCTAAGCATATGAGAAGAAAGATTGTGCTCTTCTTGATGGCCTTTCATCTTGAACGCCTTATCCATTCTGTTGGTGAGAGCATCAAGTTGCTTTTGGAGTTACTTGAAGGTTTTCTTCATGTCAAATTTGCTAGATGTGCTTCAATTAGTACCTTGAACCTGTAGACTGTTAAAGACGAAATCGTCTATATGCCTAAACGCTCCCATATTTTGAAGCTTAATAATAACATTAAACGAAATAATAATCAGAAAATTACTTAGGGTGAAAACACAAAACTTAGAACCTAAATCCCAAACACACAAAACCTAGTACCAGAATCCTCAGCATAGAAAATCTTAGGAAATCACTTAAGTTCTTAGGGAACAAAAAAACATTTAGGTCAAAACACCCAGAGACATGGCTACACGTTAGTATGTCTAAAGCGTCTGAGAGAGTTGAAGCCAAACGCTTGATGATACCTGAAAAATATACTCAGCGTAGCTCTCGAAAACAGAATAGGTCGAGACAATGTCTCTGACAAAATACCTTAAAAAAAATAAAAATCAAAACACAAGAGAAAGCTTAACAAGCTAAACGCTATCTGTCTAATAAGAGACAAAAACAAAAGAACCTTTTACTTGACCAAACGATACCATGAGTTTAACCAATACCTCGTCTATCGACGAAGTAACTATATACGCTTGGTATCTTACGTCTAATTGATATTCTCCTTTATGATGTTGGAGTTTGGACAAACATGAACTATATAAAAAATAACGAACTTGAAAGCTCATTTTTGTAATAATGTTTCTAATTTTCGTCTTGTAAAAATAGGCTGTGTTTCCAAATTTTGAACACTAACGATCCTATTATGCCTATCAAGCATAAAGACTCTTCAATTATATCAACCGTTTCAAAGTTCTACTCATCTTTTCATGGAGTTGTACTCCAGGTGTGGAGATCCTCCCAAAGCTCTACTATATCTTACAAAATGCCTTTTGTGGATTGAACAATAATATATATATATATATATANCATCTTAATCAATATTAAATGCTGTTATATATGGTTTAGAGTAGTGCAGGATGTCTTCTAGGTTCTTAAACTCTTTATAAATTTATACTTATACGTAAGTATTATATATAATATAAATTTAAGCATTATATATAATATGGAAGAAGAATCATATAACCCTCTGAAACAGTCTTTCTACTTTACAAGTAAAAATCAAACATAGAAAATGGATCTTCCACTCAGAAAAATCATGAACTGATGTGCAATAACAATTTCTTTACATATTATATTTCTACCATCGTTGTCTTTTCTTTTCTTTTTCCCACTTTGTCCACCACCATTGTTAGGAAGTGGAATTCTTATCAGAATACCTTGTATTTATGGAGGACTATATAAAAGTAGTTTCTCTTTTTAACAATTTTTAAAGTAGTGTATATATTGGAATCCAAACAGTATTAATCACAATAATCAAAATAAATCTGAGACTTTGAATTGTTTATTTATTAACTATAACATGTGTGTTACACACACACACACACACACATATATATATATATATATATATATATACTCCTAAAAAAGTTGTGTTCAATGACATTTGGAGCTCTTCTCCTATTGAATCAACCAACCGTTATAGACCAAGAAAGGGTGGAGGAGGATGGGTATGTTATGAACAAGAAAGTTCCATTAAGTCATCAGCATTATAAGGAATATTGAGATTTAATTTTTAAATTTTTTTATGTTTATTATGCAAAACGAATGAGAAACACGGGAGAAATGAAATTGTAGTACGCATTCACATGATTTCTAATTGTGGCATCATCTTAGTTTTCTAGCAAGTAACTTCATTATTATAATCACAACCCGATAGCAATGCACATAAAACATATATATATATATATATATATATATATATATATATATAAGCGTATCATGTGTGGTTTTGCTTGAGATTCCATTCGGTTCTGGCACGAACCAACTCCGTCTTATTGTCTTGTAGACGAAGCAAGTGTATAAATTGCAGCTGGGGTTTTCTGCTAACATACTTATTGTTTGAGGCACCAATCACTTTGGCTGATGCACTTGTCATTGATTCCAGTATATCTGAATGCGTACATTCACGCCGAAATTCTAAGATCATGCTTGTCATCTTGTAATCTTCTAACATTTTTCTTGGCACGCTCTGCATAAACAAAATTAACATGCCAAACAATTAGCTATACTTCTTATCCACCACCTCAATAAATCACCAAATTATATAAAACATTGCACCACCAATTTTACTGACTTTATATAAAACGGTTTTTTTCACTAATATATATGTTATGTACCTCCGAGATCCATCTGGTGTATTTTGCGTTGTTAACATGCTGGTTAACATCCATGTCGTTCCACCCTGGCTGGAGTATTGCGTGCACAGATAAAAACCAAGTTAATCAAATTTTATAGCCCTCGAGGAGGAAGGAACGAGTAAAGTGTTAATTAAGGAAAATGGCATTATTATTCAACTAAAAGTTATTGTATTAAACTTTTACAGTCACTCCAAATCGAAAACCCTCAGCGGTGGCATCAGTGAGCTTCTGTATCTTCTGCTGATCTATTTCTTCAGTGGCAATAGCAAACTTGTTAAAGTAGAAAGGAACAAGTTCTTGTCTAACTTCTTCGGGCATCTTGGATAATCTTCTTGTTTCTCTATTCATGATTGCCCACATGCTGCATCAAGGGAGCAAATATTATGTGCTAAATTAATAACTAATTATGATATCTGAATCGAAAAACTTTAGGAACACAATATGTTAGAGAATATGAGAGGATGATATTGGACCTGGTTGCTTTAGCTATGATTTCTTTGGTGTAACCATCCCTGATTATCCAGTCTCTTCGTGTCCCATTCTTTCCGCCAACATCAATCCAAGTTTCAACCTCAATTTCATCCCCCCTGTACAATTTTTTAATTTCTCATCAATCCAAGTTTAAACATATAAATCATATTTTATAAAACCTTACAAAGTTGATGAAAAAAATTGCATTTAATAGTAAATTACTTTCTTAAAAAAACTTTAAACAGTACAAGACATATACCATCTGCTATATCTCTGTACTTGAACCTGAATGCGAGTAACGACCCAAATGAGTTTTCGAAGATCCATCTCGTAAGAAGTTCCAAAACTGTTCTGACTGAACCCACAGCTGCTTACATGATTTAAAGCACTTTCCTGAGTCCATCGAAACTATTTTCCATTAATAAGAATACAAAAAGTATACGACCAAGATTAACTCGGAATTGTTCCTTTTTCAGAAAAACACGGAATAATGAAGATCGCACGAGTTAATGAGATAGCTTACCCCATCATTTCAGTCCACCAAACAATAGATTAGAATACGTATTACCACTTTTATCTTTTTATTAATTTAAAGAATAACAGTGAATACAAAGTTAAAAATATATATTTAAAATAATCTAGTTATGTAATTCATTAACTATTTCAAGCATAACATATATTTGTAGGGAAAGAAAGTTATTAATAGAATCTTATTCGTATTATATTATATTACATTACATTATATTATATTCATAGTAGTTATGTGTGATAGAGAGAGTGGGAGAATAAATTACCTGAACATTCTAATCTTCGATATATATTCTTTTATAATATAAATAGATAAAAATTAATTATTTATAGGAATAATTAGATTTCAATGTTTAAATAGATTTCTAGTTCCACCAATTTGGATTCATTTTTCTTTTACTCTTCAATTTAAAAATTCATTTTTTTTTGTTTGCAAATTTGAAATAAAAAAATACTATTTTTAATCTTTCACTATTAATGATATTACATTACTAAAATCGCCAACAACATTATATTAAAAGTGACGTGTGTGACAAAAATAATGATGTCAAAAATTACTTTTTAATTTTTTTAATAAAAATACTTTTGTAGTTTTTCGATTTTAAGTCTAGTAAATTGTAACCATCCTATTTAATATTGATTTTTTTAGCCTCTCATATTTCAAAGTGGTTTTTTAGTTTCCATGTTTTAAAAGTAATGTTTTTACTTCCTTCAAACTAATTTTTCAAATCTTTCTAACCGAAAAAAAATATATTATTTTGAATCCCAGAAATTCAAAGGATCCTTTTAGTTGTCCAAATCCAAAATTTAAAGGTGGATTTTATTAATCACATAATTTGGATTATTAATTTGAATTCATAAAAGTTATTAAGTTGTTGTTAAAAATCTACCAACTATAAATTAAATGCAAATGAATAATTGACAAATTCATTAATAATTTTAGCTAGAATCAGTCCTAAATTTAGACTTAAACAGAAAAGACAAAAAGATAGTAGGAATTGATATACTCTATGTTAACTCATCCTTGTGAATTAACATCTCTAATTCAAAAATCAAACATAAATTAATTTATTACTGTATGGAAAAGAAGTAAGAGATAAAAAAACAAAACTAGAAACAGATGCATCAGCCTTTTATACGAATTGGTTGAAGTGACTAATAATATATATATATATATATATATATATACATATATATATATATATATATATATATTAATTTCTTAGAAACATGATTTATCACAATTTTAAACTTCCAAAATTTAAATGATTGAATAATGTTTTAAAATAAATTTGCATATGATTTTAAACTTCCAAATCTAGCTAGTAAACCAAATGGAAGCATATGTAATAACAACAAATGCAATTTTTTTGTAAACAAAAGTAAAAAAATAAAAATATAAGACTAAAGGACATAAATTTTGATATGAAAGACCAAAAGAAAAAAATCCAATTTAATTTAACGAAATAAAAGTATATCTAAGGTTTTCAAGTAAATATATATAAGTGCTAAATATTTGAAAACGACTGCATTTCTGCTATTTATAAAGATATTTTTTTTAAAAGACATCAATACGACTTAAGAAGGAAAATCGAAAGTAATATTAAAACAGCACTTGGAAAACAAAATATTTAAAATCTTGAAATTAAAACCTAACATTTCCATTGAATCAACAAAAGAAATTTCCCCCCAAAAAAAGTTAAATATTTAAAAGATTTTAATTGTATATATTTTCTTAAGTATAATGATGCAGTAAATAAGCTAACCTGGAGAAAGTTGGTGAGTGTCTCCATGGAGATAGTCTTATCTGGCCCAGTTTCGTAAGACCTCACAAAGAAATTTTGTCTATATACAAACCTGCCCTCGACAAAACTTCCACGAAGGAAAGTAGCAAAATCTTCTGTGCTTTCATTCCCCAACTTCCTTCTTGTTGTACCATTAATCAATGGAACATCTTTCAATCCATTCCTCGTGTTCACTCCCACTGGAGTACAATGAGAACATAACGAAAACCTTCTATTAGTGTTGTACCATGCATTAGACTTGCACGGGGAATTAACCTCTGCAATTCTCTTCTTGGCACTGATATTGATGGGTGCCACCATTGATGATGTCATAGCAGAATTCATGGCAGAGTGGAAAACAACAAGCAAATCAGAATTGATGTTTGCTTCTAGCTATGCTATGCTTCTAATTTATACATTAATTCTAACCGTGTTAGTAATTAATGTTTCTCTTTTTCATTTTCTAATATCTGTGTTACGGTTGCTGCAAAGATGAAAAATAAATGTTGATTTAATGACGTGAACGAAAGCATCTCGGTTCAGTCTTTTAACAAGTTTGATCTTTGTGTCATATTTTAATAGATATCGTTTCCGAGAAATAGTAACGCGTGTGCCACATTTTTTTTGGTGACCGAAAAGATAGTCATGTATTTAGGTATTTGCACGAGCTGCACCATTTCCTCAACACAAAGTGATGAATCACATGTAAGAATTCACTGTGTTGCTTTTTATTCTAGTTTTCAAATAAGTACATAAATAGGATAGAGAAAGTTTTTGATTTTTTATACCAATTCTAATATCAATATAAAAAGCTATTCTTTTATACACGATATTCCAAAAATAGGTATAAAATGTCTTATTTTATATATTATTGTGAGAATAGGAATAAAAGAAATCATTGTTTATACTTATTAATGCTAGAACAGACATAAAAATATACCTACTTTAAATATAATAAGGTGAATTTTTTTTTAAAATACTTGATACTTGTTATTATCCATATCCAAACTTGCATAAAATTCAATTAAAAAATACAATATAAATAATCAATATCGAACAAAATAATCAATATTTTTTTTATTACTAATACATCAAAATAGTTCCTAAACTCGATAGAATAATTACCTAATAAAATTTGTAAATATATTTACTTAACATAGTTACACATAGTTCCTAAACTCAAAATGTAATATTGAATACATCTATTCATCTGCCCACTGCTCCCAAACATCCTTTACATGTTGCTCCATTGGAGACGTGTCATCAAATATCTACATAATGAATAGTTTGACTTAAGTTATAATATTAATGACTTAAGATGTTAGTTAAATTATAAAGTATCATAAAATTTATAATTAATATTTATGGTATGAAAGATTAACTACTTACAATTGGTGCAATAAACTACAACTTCTTTCTAGAAGCGATGTATCACTAGTGCAGAAAGGGCTTTAGACGTCTGTTATTTTGGGCTTTTAACTTCTGATCTCTGTCCGACGTCTATATGGGTGACGTTAATGAGACGTCGGACCCAATAGCTAAGACGTCTATGTAGACGTCCGATCCATATAGGTCAGACGTCTATATACACGTCTGACACTATAAATCAGATGTCTAAAACATTGTCGTATTTGATTGCATATTTTTCAACTTGAGGCCTCTTGGGTTGCTCCTGGCTCATGGTGATTCGAGTTTACAACTTTATATTTTAGTTGAAGAGAATGTATTGTACGTTGTTTTTGTATTGGATGGTTTTAAAAACGTAGTGGAGAGAATTGGAGGAGTGCAAAACACAAGAAATCGCCTCCCAAGGATACGAGCAAAACTGCACCAAAACCCAACGAAAACGCATTTTAATCGGTTCAAATGAAAAATAATGCATCAAAGAGTGATGTAATTGGAGTAAACTTAATTTAAAATGATACAAAAGTAAGAAAACATACCTGAAAAGCGTAACCCGTAGAGAGAAAACGCGAGGAAGATTATGAACATTAAGTGCACGTAACTGCTGCCTCGCGTTTGCGGTGTTTTAATACAGCCATATAGAAGTCGGTTCCTCCCACATCAGACGTCTATATGGCTGTAGAAGTCGGATTGGCGGGATCAGACGTCTAAATGGAGTTAAAAAGTAACTTTTTAGATTTCAAAAATGAGTATATAGAAGTCGGTTCCCCCCACATTGAACGTCTATATGGCTGTAGAAGTCGGATTGGCGGGATCAGACATCTAAATGGAGTTAAAAAGTGACTTTTTAGATTTCAAAAATGAATATATAGAAGTCAGTTCCCCCCACATCGGACGTCTATATGGTTGTAGAAGTCGGATTGGCGGGATCAGACGTCTAAATGGAGTTAAAAAGTGACTTTTTAGATTTCAAAAATGAGTATATAGAAGTCAGCTCCCCCCACATCGGACATCTATATGGCTGTAGAAGTCGGATTGGCGGGATCAGACGTTTAAATGGAGTTAAAAAGTGACTTTTTAGATTTAAAAAATGAGTATATAGAAGTCGGTTCCCCCCATATCGGACGTCTATATGGCTGTAGAAGTCGGATTGGCGGAATTGGACGTCTAAATGGAGTTAAAAAGTGACTTTTTAGATTTCAAAAATGAGTATATAGAAGTCGGTTCCCCCCACATCGGACGTCTATATGGTTGTAGAAGTCAAATTTGCGGGATCTGACGTTTAAATAAAGTCAAAAAGTGACTTTTTAGATTTCAAAAATGAGTATATAGAAGTTTGTTCCCCCACATCAGACGTCTATATGGCTTTACATGTCTATTCCCTCCAGAACAGACGTCTATATGGTTGTTTTATTTAAAGAAAATGCCACCGATCATTTTTTACGGTGGATATTCGAGGGTCGGACGTCTAAAGGGTGACGTTAAAGGCCTTTTATGCACTAGTGTATGTTTTAGAATTGTTTGTTGCAACCATTCATTCACATCTTCCTCCTCTTATGCTTCAACCTAGTATACATATTTAAAAACTTACAAAAGATTAGTATTACCAATAAAAACAACAAAGTGCGTATTTAAAACAATTATCTCCTTTACAATTGTTTTTTATATTCTAATTTATCAAAAGATAAAATTAAAACATACTTAAAATTGCTGCTTTTTTAAAAAAAATATATTTATTTAATCTCAAAATCAAAATCTGAAATACAACAAATTTTCAGTAATAGAATATATATTTCAAATTGTTCAATAAAGTACATAATAAAAAATTTCAAAATTAAAATAAATATTAAGATGTTTAACTTAAAATTTATAGTCTACACAAAACCTAACTTAAACTTTTAAGGATTTGATATATCAAGTTGTAGCCTATTAAATCAATTTAATTAATTTAAATTAATTAAACATGAATATAAGGATTATCCAAGTCATAAGTTTAAGGCGTGATTCTCAAAAAATTGAAATATCAGAGTATGTTGGTATAGCAATAAAGTTAAGATCGTGAGGTTATAGAAATTGAGAGTTATATTTTATTAATGTTTCAGAAATATTTCATAATATTAAATATATTTAGCTTGATGTGTAGGTAATATACAATTAAATATCACATTGTATTAATCACACATAAATAATAAAAGAGACAAAGAAAAGCTTAAGCATTCCCAACAATGTTTCCTACAAAAGAAATGCTACAATCAAGAGTGAATTGCCTCCTTCCATTTAATAACAAAGCTCTTTCAAAATTCAACACTTATGTACTATCAACAACCAATTGAATTTGTGATTATAAATTAAACTCATAACTGAACTCATACAACAATATACAATCTGTAGCCAAAAAGAGGATGGGGATGACACTCCAGTGAATGGAGCTCAAATAACTATGTTATTTGGATATGAACAAAATAGTAATCATAATAAGCTTATACGGTATAGGAACAAGAACCAGAACTCAACGAAAAGAGTGATAGCTAAAAATGTCCAAAATAAATTTTAAAAAAAGTCACTATAATAACAAATGGCAGAGAGGGGTTAGTCAATCATTTTGAAAAAGGATTTATCACTAGTGCAGGCCTTTAACGTCACGCTTATAACGTCTGACTCTCGAAAATCCAACATAAAAAATAATCGGTGATATTTTTGTAAATAAAATGTCATTATAAAAGTCGGTTCCTCCATGGTTAGACGTCAAATCCTCCTTTAGACGTCGGCCCTCATATCTATTATAATATTTTAACAATATTGCAAAAGTTACAACGTTTTTGAACGTTTGCTTTAGAACGTTGGCAACGGGAAAAAGAAACAATTATTAAGCAACATTAAAATTTTTAATTAAATCATTTATGGTTTTTAATTTCTTTTATTTTCTTGATTCTTCCTTAGCTCTATAAATAGAGAGCTATTTTCCCATTCCAAAACACACCAAAAAATCAATATTCTCTCTTTCTCCTTTCCTCTTATAAAATTATTCTGGGTTATTTTTTATACTCTTTTTAGAGATCCTTGCTAGTTCTGAGATCCTCAGAAATATTCTGGGAAGTTCATGTTGTATCCTGGGGGGCTTGCGCAATACACCACGGATAAGTCCTTAAGGACAATGAAACTACACGCCTCAGGAAATTTTGTTTGTGATTCTATCAGCTTTTTACAACAATCTTAAGGACTTATGGCTGACGTCAACAATGTTCCTTCAGAGAGCCATACCATCGTTTCCAGAACCCAGACGGTGTTCGCAAAATCACTTTCGAACTTGTCCAAAATCGAGTTTTTCTCTGGACAGAACTTCCGGTGCTGGCAAGAACGTGTGTCCACCCTTTTAGACATGTATGGAGTTGTTACTGATCCCAAAAGGTACGTACACAAACCTGATCACAAAAAGAAAATTATTTTTCTTAAATCCCATCCCAATGAATCTAAACTCGCCTGGCGTAGAGTAAGAAACGAAAATCCTCCTAAGGCAAAAATAGTCAAAGGAGATGACATTATTGTTGCGGTCGTTTCACAAGTAAATCTAATGACCAATGTGAGCAAGTGGGTGGTAGGCTCCAGTGTTACCAGGCATATCTGTGCAAATAGAAGTGTTTTTACCTCTTACGCTAGTGTAGGAGATGAAGAAGAACACGTCTACCTCGGTGATTCCAGGACCACTCATGTTCTGGGAAAAGGAAAAGTTCTTCTCAAACTCACATCTGGAAAGACTCTAGCCTTGAGTGAGGTGCTACATGTGTCATCAATCATAGTTAATTTAATCTCTGTAGCATTATTAGGAAAAGTGGGGGTTAAAGTGTCATTTGAGTCTGACAAGATCATTATGACAAAAAATAATGTTTTCGTGGGGAAGGGATATTGTGATCAAGGACTCTTCATTCTAAATGTTTCTGAAA